GAGAGAATGTACTGGCTCTTCGGACAGGTGACCGTGGTTATACTATGATCATTAGCAGTGTTTTCATTGTATGCTAATGTTCATTGTCAAGTAGATGGTGCAATCTTTTGATTTATTTGCAACATAAGAGGTAATTGGGAGGGCCTTAAGGCTAAATGTTAGCATTGTACCATATCACCATTGAGGACAAACCAATTGCTAGCTGTTACACAAGCACTGCACTCTGTGAAATAAAGTGTGACAGGATGTTATTGCTTTGGTGCTTCAGTCAGCCACAGATTCCATATTTATCTTTAAAGGGACTCCATTCTGTACTCAGAGACAAGGAGAGCCTTCTAGTCCTTATTAAAATAAGGAAATACAATTGTAAAGATGCTACAAATGGTATCCACACAGCTAACCCCATTAGACACTTCTGTGGGTGAATGCCTCTCCTTAAACAAGAAGAGCATCCTTAAAAACACTTCTTCAACCAAAATGCAGAGGTGAATTTAATCTGCAGTACCTTTAAATAGGATCTGTAATTCTTCTTGTGTAGGTCCACTGTGTTTAAACCCTGAATTATTTCTACAGGACTTGCAAAGCTTGTTAAAGTTTTCTGTGAAAACAGATAAAGGGCCATATTATGGTTCTTACCATAGCCTCTGCTAGCATTTCAGTAGCATAAAAGACGTGTGAAGCTGCTTCAGGTGGATACCTCCAAATTTCCTGGGGTACCATTAGGAGCATGCCCAAGTGACAGTTATGAGAATGTAACCTAGTCCTGAGGATGCTCCAATAGCAGCAGTTCTGGGGTTTTAGGGTGGGAATAGATGATGTGAGGGCATAGCCACTCCTTTAACAACTCAGCTAACACTAAGGCTTGGACTCCAGCCATCCCCTTTAAACAAACCAAATGGACAGAAACCCCCTACAACTCAAACCCTCACAAATTCACATTTCAAATGCTTTCTTGGGCAGATGGAAAAGACAACATTTTAGTCAAAGATTTGTTTATAGGCTTCAATCTATTTACTCAGTTGGGGTGAATATACATTTCAAAGATTTATGAAACACACTGATTATAAAGTACCTGCATATGCATAAGGTAGATCTTAGTCCTGAGATTATTATATTGAGATGATTGCACTCTCAGTATTCATTAGGGCTTTTTTCCCTTGATGAAACAGATTCATGTAATCAATACAAACTGCTTAAGATTGTAATTGCTTAGTTAAGTAGCAGTTAGTAAATGAAATGCAATAGAAATGCAAATGCTGTAGAACAGGAAACAATAATTGTATTTATGTTGGCAATTTCAGATAGGTATAATATATTCATTAGAAATGTCAATATTCTACTCAAACCTAGGTGGCCTGTTGGGCAAGAGAGGGAGGGGCAACTCTCCACCATGAATGACCAGGTACCCTGCTACAACTGGGTCCATGCAGTCAAGAATCTGGAAACAGGCTCAAATCCATATCTCTGGATCTGTAGCAAGACTAACTGCTCTGGCACCATGTCCCTGTAATATTTCAATGCCCTTCTTAAATCGTTGGTGAGCTTTTGTTTGTTATATTTTGTTGGCTTTTTACTTGAATTCCCCACCTATTCTACTAGCATTAAATCAAGAAAGTCTTCTGTTCTAGTCTAGTTGATGGGAAATACCATTTCCACCTATAGTATAACAAGTGCACACAGAAATGGACATCATTAGCGACTTCTCATCAATTGTCCAACTGAAGTTGTTCCAGGAAAAAATAACCCCCCAAAACAGTCAGAGTATCCAGGCTGCCCTGTGAACTAGCTAACAGAATAATTCCAAACAATGCCAGTTTTCTTCTGACAGGAGTAAGGAGGTTCACTCTGATAATGTCTTGACATTTCATCATAAGAAGTAATGAGGTTCCTTCCTAACCTACCAGGACTGAACCTGACATAAATGGCAACAGTCAGCTCCTATAATTCTGCTGCTCACTTATTATGACAGCTGGATAATCTTTCATAGTCTTTGAAAAATGTGTTTATTACCTTTCTAATAGCTGGGAGTTTAAAAATGAAAAGGAGGAATGAATGAATGCAGCACAGTGAGGTATATGCAAGGTCAGCTCCCAGACTGGCAAGGTCAGCTCCCAGACTGCTGCACTGGGCAGCACAGTTTGGGAAGAAGGTGAGCAGCTCTCAGTGGTGAAAGACCGGGTTAGGGACGATTTAGAAAAGCTGGACATGTGCAAGTCTATGGGGCCGGATGCAATGCATCTGAGGGTGCTGAAGGAGTTGGTTGTGACTGCAGAGCTGCTGGCCATTATCTCTGAAAATTCGTGGTGATTGTGGGAGGTCATGGACGATTGGAAAAGAGTAAATAGTCTGTCAATCTTTAAGAAAGGGAAGGAGGAAGATCTAGGGAACTACAGACCAGTCAGCCCCACTTCAGATCCTGGAAAAATCATGAAGCAGATCCTCAAGGAATCCAATTCTAAGCACTTGGAGGAGAAGAAAGCAATCAGGAACAGTCAGCATGGATTCACCAAGGACAAATCATGCCTGACCAACCTGATTGCCTTCTATGATGAGATGACTGGCTCTGTGGATGCAGGGAAAGCAGTGGATGTCATATACCTTGGCTTTAGATAAGCTTTTAATAAGGTCTCCCACAGCATTCTTGCAAGCAAGGGAAGAAAGTATGGGTTGGAGGAATGGACTGTAAGGTGGATAGAAAACTGGCTGGAGCATCAGGCTCAACAGATAATGATCAATGGCTCTCTGACTAGTTGGCAGCCACTATCAAGTGGAGAGTAGGGCTCGAATTCAGAGTGACCAAGACAAATCAGAGGATTGAACTACAAGAAGTCTCATGAGGTTCAACACAGACAAGTGCAACATCCTAGACTTAAGATAGAAGAATCCCTTGTACCACTACACACTTGGGACCAGCTGGCTAAGCAGCAGCTCTGAAGAAAAGAGCCTGGGGGTTGCAGGGGACAATAAGCTGTATAACAGCCAACAGCATGCCCTTGTTGTGAAGAAGGTTAATGGCACATTGGGCTGCTTTAGTAGGAGTATTGCCGACAGATGGAGGGAAGTGGTTATACCCCTCTATTCTGCACTGGGGAGGTCACATCTGGAGTCCTGTGGCCATTTTGGGGCCCGCACTACAGAAAGGATGCACAAAAGGTGGACAGTCCAGCAGAGAGCAACAAAAATGGTGAGCAGACTGGGGCACATGACTTATGAAAAGAGGCTGAGGGAAGAGGCCAGGGCTGCGCTCCCACAACAAGGATCCGGCCCCTCACGGCTCTCCTACTGTCCATCCATGGCTTGCCAACATCTTACAAATTGAGGTTGTGGGTGTTTTTGGCACTCTGACCCAAAACGTTGCCGACCCCTGCCACAGACATCAACCTGCCCATTCAATATGTTAATAGTGACTTCTAAGACTAATGGATTCTGCTTCCCATTCCTGGCCCAAATCCAGGAACACTACAAGAAGAAAAAGAAGTAGCTTTTGGAGGAAAGGAAGTGGGGAAATATTAGTTCAGTTTTTTTTTTTTAAGTTGCAACAATGCCCTTGTGCTCTTTAGATTAAATTCAGAGAAAGGGCATTTTCCATTTATCCCAATCAGTTCATCCACCCCTAACATACTGATAAATGTATCCCTTAGACCAACAGCTTAATAGGATTCCAAAAAGGATTAGACATTGTATATGGCTCATAACCACGTCCCAGTTTATACTGCAAGAATGATTATTCATAAGAGGTATAATCCTTCATGCTTCAGGGTATATGAACCAAATCACTACCTGCATGGAACAAGGAAGTATTTCTGTTGTGGTTGGATTATTCCATACTGTCATATCACATAGCTCCGCAGCTTGCATGGCTGGTAACTTTTTATCATTCTGAACAGAAACCGAAACTGAAAAGTAAATCATGGTGCCTAAGGAGGTACACAGCTTAACCATATTTAAAGAAAGACTACCATACATAATGACTAAGGCACAATAAGGCATATTGCCCATGATGAGGATTTTACACATTTGGAAAAACTGGTTATTGCTTCAGGCCTAGCCTAGGATTCAGGAGACCAGGCTTAAAAGCCTTGCCCAGGTGCAGGCTCTTTGTATAAAACATTGGGGAAGAGAATTAGTTTTTTGGTATTTCAATTTCCCCTACAAGAAAATATGGTATGTACTTCCCTATTTCCCAGAGGTGTAGTGAGGACAATGATGTTAAGCACTGGGACACTAGAATGGCTATCTTAAACAGACAGAACCCTCTTTTTTTCCTAGATTCCCAGTCTAGATTAGGCCAATGACCTACCCGGCCTTTTGCCAATCCATCAAGCTAACTTCAATATCTCTATATTCCCAATTCCTTTTAGCTTTTTGAACATCAAAAAATGGCTCTAAGACATGCATGTGCACACCCACACCCAAAACAGCCCTGAAGGGGTGGGCAGGGGAGGGGAGAGAGAGAGAGAGATCATATAAGACTCTAGACCAGTATTTGTTTCTCTGTAACAAACACTTCAGTTTGAAGCATGACACTTTCTAATTTATTCCTAAAGTGTAGACATCAATTAATATATAGAAACCAAGAGTGAGAGACACAACATTTTGCAATTAAATTCATGAGAAACACTTCCAAATAAGCTACTTGTGAGGCTGATTAATTAAGGGAAACTCTAATGAGAAAACATGTGCCGACAGGATCTGACCCTCTTTCCTGTACTAATTTACACCTATTGATGGCTTTACAAATAAAGCAATCAAGGCATATAATGCAGAAACAGTTCTATGCTCTTTTCCGCTACCTGTAAAGCAATCATTACAGACTGCTGTAATAGCCTTAAGTGCTAAATTCAAAACTGAATGCGTTAACTAATGAGAAGAAAATCATCATGCACTCAGCCTGTTTACTGCCTGTAAATCAAAAGTTAAGATCAGGCTCAAGAAGGTCTCTGAACTGTATTACTCATTAATGTCAAGCGCCTACTGACAAGCACAACTAGCAGCCGTACCATTGAATTTTTCAAGCTCTGTAGTAAGCGCTCATGTTGTTCTGCTATGGCTAAAGCAGCCGAGTGAACCTTCTGATAGATTGCCTCCCCATCTCTTGTCTGAAAGATGAATAGTCCTTCTCCTGTGTCACACATCCTGCCAAAGTGAGAAAAGAAAGATTTTCACTTAGGACGATGGATAAAGCATATCTTTTGCCAGTGCTATCATAAAAGTGGTATCAAAACGAAGGGTAATAAATATAACAAATGGTTGCTTGGAAAGCAGCACCCAGATTTCCATAAACCTTCATAAAAGTATATAAACCCACCAGCACGTGAAACAATTGCTCATTATCAACCACATAAGCACTTAACTCTGAAACCCTTATCTGTGATGCCAGCACTTACTAACACACTAGCAGCTACTCAAGTTTAGGACGGTAGAAATAGCTCCTTAATGCATTTCAGCCCTGAACTCTGTGTGATATACTGGTAATATAAAACGATTCCTAAACTATGACTTCACTTGAACCTGATGTTCCTTTTAATTGCCAATTCAGACCTATCATTTCTAGTGCGTCTTGGTATGTTTTGGTGCAGGAAAGCTCAGGCTGACTCGAGGGGACAATTCCTAAGCTTTGAAAAAAAATGTAAATTCAGCTCTGGATCCAAATTGAAACTTAGACCCTTGTCTAGATCCTATGTGACTGAGATGAATTAAAATTATTATTTCTCTTTTTAGATTTAGTGCAGATGAGGGCAGAAACCAGGAAGCCTCTCTCAGAGGAAGCCTTATATTCTGCTTGCTATCAGAAGTGCTAGTAAGGGAAGAAATGCTACTTTCACATGCAGTCATTAAAAACACATAGATGTGAATTTTATTAAACGGAGGAGACCAATTTACAAGAGTACTGAAAAAGTAATTAGTCTTATATTGATTTTATGCAGCATTAGAGGGCGCAAAACTTCCTCTAGGACCCATATAAAACTATCATACAATTTCTCCTCAGATTTTTGCTCTTTAAGGTCTACTGTGAAATATCCATCTTAACAGAAAAAAGGTTCCAATAAGAACTAAAATCAATTTCAACCCAAATGGCAACAGTTTAGGGTAAAATGGATCTTGACTCAGTCATTCAACTCTCTAAATTGAAAGAACTCTTTAGTTTTGAGACCATAGTTTTGCCTTCAATGAGATACTTGTCCATGTTCCTATTTTTCTTGCTAAGGACTCCTACTTGCATCTTTGTGGCTAAGAAATATTCTATCAATTAAACAACAAATTGTCCTGCTCCTGCTTATCTGGGGACTATTCTAACCTAATAGGGGAGATGGAAATGATGCTTTTCCTTTTCTAGTTCCTATGGTTTACTCTGCTACTTCCCTCTCAGCTCTATAACTTCTCTTACTTATATCATATCATCCAAGTGTCGCTTATAAAGCATTGAGCATTTCAATCGCATGAAAAGTCTACAAGCATAGCCTTATTAGAACTTGACTCGATGTAATTAAGAACTGTACCTCAAAAGCACAAGGAAGTGCCACTGGATTAATCACAAAGATAGCAAGTGGATTATATACTTCATTTTGCATTATTTAATTTGCTGTAGGGAATGACCTGACATTCAAAGGATCTGAATTTTAAGTTACACATTGTAATGAGAAAGAACTGCTTTAAACTCATGGGCTAAGTCATGAGTGACCGGTGCCACCTGAATTGGCAGGGGGAGGAGGAGGGCATGTGCATCCCCTACCAGTCACCTACAAGCTAGGTATGACAGTCAAAAAGCTTGAGGCAGAATCGATCAAGGTTATGTATTTTTCTGTAAGCAGTGTAGTTGAGATCATTAGTGAACAGAACACATGTTCACCCTTGGGTGTGAGAGTGAAATCTTAGATGGGGTTCTGGCATTTCTAAACCAGTCTGTGCACACCAAACTTCTGTTCTTTTAGGGGTATAGACCAGTTTCTGATCACCAGGGATCTAGGTTTTCTGTTTGCTACAGAAAAACACAGCAAAACACATTTTTTTCCTTTAAAAGAGAAAAATGTGGCTTTTCTCCTTTAACCTGGGAAACTGAGCATTTGCCCTTGCAGGCTGGCAGAGTTCGAGCCTGCAAGTGGATTCGTGGGGCTGGGGGGGAGTGGGACACAGGGGGCACCACATGCATGTGCATGCACACAAATCCATGGCAAACAGGCAGTGTGGTGGAGAACAACTCCCGCAGCTCCCTTGAGGTAAGTCTATGTAAGTATGGAGTGGGCACAGGCAATGTGGTGGGAGGGTACAGGAAATGCATGGGAGGAACAAGTGATGCATGGGGGGAGGGGGATGTGCCACCCCCCTCAGACTTCTGAGCCCACAGTGAGGCATGAGGCCTGACCAGCTCTGGGCAGGAGATGCCTCCATGGCCCAGTGGATGGGACCCAGCACAGGAGGGAGCACTGTACTGCCATAGCTCCCGAAGTGATGTCGCCTGCCTGTCCAGCAGCAGTGAGGGGCACAGCACTGCACCACCAGTGCCACCACTGCAACGTCTTACATTGGTAGCCATGGCAGTGTGGTGCTGTCTCACACTGGGTCCCCCCTGCTGGCCTGAAGAGGTGGCTTCTTCTCTGAGCTGGTCTGGCCAGGCTGCAGCCCCACACCCCACACCCTGCTGTAGGTGCAGAAATCTGGGGAGGCACGTGCCCACCCTGCTGCCCAACACATTGCCTGTGACCACATGTCCCCTTTCCTACATACCCACCCCATTCCCCATGCACTGGGGGGCTGGGGGCAGTGATTCAGGAGTAAGCAGCACCAGCAGGGCTGGGGGCAGTGGGCTGTGGGTTGGGAGTGAGGAACAACAGCATGGGCAGGGGCAGGGTATCAGCACATCGGGGCTGCTCAGCACCGCAAAGCAACAAGGGGGGCAGCTACAGCTGAACCTGTGTCCTGGTGAGTGAAGGGGGTAGGGAGAGCTCTAATTTTCCATGATAAAAAAAAAAACTCAAATGACAATGTATATATATATATATTACGGCTGTGCGAAGTGGTACCGTTCCATTTCTCCATGAGTTTCGATGGTTCAACGGAACAGTGTTTTGTCTCGAATTTCATCTCGAGTCAAAACAGCTGTTCTGTCGAAACAGAAAGGCTGTTTCGACACTTTTTCGAGTTTCACTGGGGATGGGGAGTCAGAACAGCTGGGCTGACTTCCTATCCCCCCCCCCCCCCCC